GGAAATACTGACACCATCTGTGGAAGGGAGTTCCACATCATTACTGCTCTAACAGTAAAGAACCCCTTACACAGTTTAACAATGAACTGCTTCTCGTCCAACTTCAGTGACTGGCTGCGTGTCTTCTTCAGCGGCCTGAGACTGAATAGTTTTTTGCCAATGATAGAATTACTATCTAGATATTTGTAAATCAATGGCACACCGAACGCATCTTGCAATCTGCCCACCAAACTACTTGGTACTGCACAGGGGCGGACTGACAACTCATTAGGCCCCCCGGGCAATAGGGGATCATAGGGCCCCTGTGTCCTTGCCCAAACTCAAAAAAACCTATGAAAAAGGTACCAGAGGCATCTCATGGGGCCCCCTAATGACCCCGGGCCCTCGGGCAGTGCCAGCGTTTCCAAATGGTCAGTCCGTCCCTGGTACTGCAGTACCATGCAATTTGGTACTTCTTGTACACATCGCATTTTTCTAAATCCAAGTCTTATGCCCTACTAGATGGGAGTAAGGTGTGTGCCAGAGCTGTGTAAATCTCTGGGCTGGATGGACAGCAATAGAATTCATTTGGCAGGTAAAACAGCTCCTATATAGGAATTTCCTATATGTGCTTTTCTGTTTGCCTGAGGTTTACTTTTAATATCCTGCTGGGAACATCTCCATCTCTCTTTATCTCTTGTTCTCACCCTTCCTGATTCTCAAGGGCAATTGGCTCAGTTTCCAGGATATCGTTGGATATTTTATTTGTTTTTGCCCTTACTACCTCATGCGGTGAACCATTCCAAAATGTAAAACATATGAAAACCTTAATAAGAAATATTTCTGATTTCTCCCCTTTTGGTTTGTTAAATATTCCTTTGGAAGGGTTTCATTATGTCTATTTAAACAATTAAAAAAAAAAAAAACCCAGTTGATCCTGCCAGAAATTCAGAGCTATTCTGTGTCTTGAGCACACTTCTTGTGTTATCTCATGGAGAGTAATTAGCAATTTTTAGTTCATATATTGGGAGTACAGAACGATTAGCCTTCATAAGTTGTGGAACTGGGAGAGTAGGTGGGTTTGAGCAAAAGGAAACAGGGCAGAGCTGACACCACTCGGTTCACAAGCATGCTGCATGTTCTCAGGCCACAACAGGATTTAGGAGCTGAGTATATTTCTGGCAGATCAACCGGTAATTTAATTTACTTGCTAGGTCTTTAATGGGATAAAACATTATCCCATTAACCACATGCCGCCCAGCCACTGTAGAAATACGGCGGCAGGGCGGCACGGGCAGGCAAAACCACATTTTAAAACGTGTGTTTTATAAACAGGTAGGGGGCACGCGTGAGGCGTGCCACCGCCCTACCTGTCCCGCCGATCACAGCCGCGGATGTCAGTTGCCGGGTCACAGCTGATCGTTACTGGCTATGTACCGGCGATCGGCGGCAATAGCTGATAGAGAGCACAGCTGCAGTAGCTGTGCTTTCTGTCAGTTCCCTGACAGCTCCAGGACAAGCTGATCGGGACAGAAGAGTTTCTCTCTCCGGATCAGTGGTGTTCCCTGCAGTACACACCCCGCCCCCTAGTAAAACACTCCCCTCACTCAGATAACCCTTCCCTGAAAAATAAACTTAACCCCTTCCTCCCCAGTGCCATTAGTACAGTGTCAGTGGTTTTTTTTTTTGCACTGATCACTGTATTGGTGTCACTGGGGATGTCAGTGACCCCAAGTCAGTACCCCCCAATGTCAGAATGTCCGCCGCAGTCCCGCCATAAGTCCCTGATCGCCGCCATAAGTCGCTGATCGCCGCCATTATTAGTATAAAAAAAACCTAAAAATCCCAGTGTCTTTCCCGCCATTTGTAAACGCTATAACTTTCACGTAAACCAATTAATTTACACGTATTGGGTTTTTTTTCAGCAAAGACATGTCGCAGAATGCATTTTGGCAGAAATTTATGACTAAATTTGATTTTAAAATTTTTTTTTACTGGACATGTTTTATAGCAAAAAGTCCAAAATATTGTTTTTTTTTCCTCAAAATTGTCAGCGCAAAAAATAAAAACCACACAGGAGATCAAATACCATTGAAAGAAAGCTCAATTTGAGGGAAAACAAAGGATGTAAATTTCATTTATGTAAATCCTCTGGAGGTCAAGTGGTTAAAAATGGGGAATGGACATGTATTGCAGGGATTTATTGTATACATTTATATGCCTTGACATATACTTTAACCACTTGACCTCCAGAGGATTTACCCCCCTTAATGACCAGGCCTCTTTTTGCTACTCGGCGCTGCACTAATTCAACTGATAATTGCGCGGTCATGCAATGCTGCACCCAAACGAAATTTACGTCCTTTTTTTCACACAAATAGAGCTTTCTTTCGGTGGTATTTGATCACCTGTGCGCTTTTTATTTTTCACGCTATAAACAAAAAAAGGTCAAAAATTTGGAAGAAAAACAATATTTTTTAATTTCAGCTATAAAAAATATATAGTAAACTCAAACTTGGTTATAAATTTAGGCCAAAATGTATTCTGCTCCATGTTTTTGGTAAAACAAATCCCAATAAGTGTATATTGATTGCTTTGTGTGGAAGTTATAGCGTCTACAAACTATGGTATAGATACTACAATTTACGCCATTTGTTTGCTATACAGCACTGCACTAGTTTAACGGACAATTGCGCGGTCATGCAATACGGTACATAAATGAAATTTACATCCTTTTTTTTCCCACAAATTGAGCTTTCTTTCGGTGGTATTTGATCGCCTGTGCGGTTTTTATTTTTTGTGCTATAAAAAAAGGCTGACAATTTTGGGGAAAAAAAACAATATTCTGGAGTTTTTGCTATAAAACATGTCCAGTAAAAAAAAATGTAAAAATCAAATTTAGTCATAAATTTCTGCCAAAATGTATTCTGCGACATGTCTTTGCTAAAAAAAAAATCCCAATACGTGTAAATTAATTGGTTTACGTGAAAGTTATAGCGTCTACAAATGGCGGGAAAGATACTGGGATTTTTAGGGTTTTTTTTATACTAATAATGTCGGCGATCAGTGACTTATGGCAGCGACCAGCGACTTATGGTGGGACTGCGGCGGACATTCTGACATTGGGGGGTACTGACTTGGGGTCACTGACATCCCCAGTGACACCATTACAGTGATCAGTGCAAAAAAAAAAACACTGACACTGTACTAATGGCACTGGGGAGGAAGGGGTTAACTTTATTATTCAGGGAAAGGGTTATCTGTGTGAGGGGAGTGTTTTACTAGGGGGCGGGGGTGTGTACTGCAGGGAACACTGCTGATCGGGAGAGAGAAACTCTTCTGTCCCTATCAACGTGTCCTGGAGCTGTCAGGGAACTGACAGAAAGCACAGCTACTGCAGCTGTGCTCTCTGTCAGCGATTGCCACTGATCGCCGGGACATAGCCGGTAACGACCGGCTGTGACCCGGCGACTGACATCTGCGGCTGTGATCGGCGGGACAAGTAGGGTGGAGGCGCGCCTCGCGTGTGCCCCCTACCTGTTTACAAAACACACGTTTTAAAACGTGCGTTTGCCCAGCCGTGCCGCCCTGCCGCCGTATTTATACAGTGGCTGGGCGGCATGTGGTCCTCATGCACACGGGACGTTTTTACAGCGGTTGTTTTTTTGGCTTTTGACGTTTTTTTCTACAGCCAGTAAACCCCCCAGCATGTTATCCTAGGTGTCCATGCACACATAGACTGCAATAAACATTTTTTGCGCCTCTACTGAGTGAGTGTTGTCACCCTGAGACAGGAAGTGTGTTAACTTGCAGGACTGCCAGGTGAAAATAAAGGAACAAAACCCTAAAAAAAAAAAAAACTAGTGCAGCCACCACATCTAAGCTGCCATTATAGGCTGCAGTTTTTCTGTAGTTTCTTGGGGTTAGATACACTTTACTCAACTTTTTTTTTAATCCATGTGCAACTGGGACAGTCCCACAGGACCAGAAAACAACAGATGTTGGACCAATATTCAAGTCTGATTAATAGATTTGGTACCTGGAAGCCAGTAGGGCTGACTCCTGTTGTGTTCTATCTTTCTGCCCTTAAATATTTTTCATGACATCAGTATTGTATGCCATTCTTGGGGGACTGTTCCAGTTGAAAACAAGTCTATGAAAAATAATGGAAGTTTACCAGTTTGCGTATTATTCCATGGATGGATGCCATCTGGACTAGATGCTTTTTGTTGTAGCTACATCTCATGTGTGTTAAGCTAACAAAGATCAAAGGTGGATTTTCTCATCTCCCTCTACCTTGTCGTCTGGCTTCAGTTGATAAAAGATTGCTGGAAAAATATGAGCGCTCAACAATCACGAAGTTACAGTCATATTTCCCTTGTTATCTTCATGAACAAATTTTAAACTGTGCAGCTAAACAAGCATAAAATATTGACGTTACCATAGAATCAAACTGTTCCAGAGTATACTGTTTAGAACAGCCTTTCTCAAGCATGGTTCATGGAAGCTTAGGGTTCCTCCAGAGGTTGTTAGGTGGTCCTTGGGCAATGACCAATTTCTGACTGACAGGTAAGTAACCATTGACACCAATGATCGTCTTATCTATTGATAAGGAGGACATTCTTCCAACTGGTCACCACTGTATAGAGCATTTTTCACACTGACCACCAATATAATGAGCATTTTTCCTCCTGACCGCCAGTGTGAGGAGCATTTTTCCCACTGAATACCAATGTAAGGGGCATTCTTCCCAATGACCTCCAAAGAGCATTCTTACTACTGACCACCAATGTAAGGGGCATTCTTCCCAATGACCACCAATGTAAGGAGCATTCTTCCTATTGATTACCAATGTAAGGAGCATTCTTCCCATTGATTACCAATATAAGGAGCATTCTTCCCATTGATTACCAATATAAGGAGCATTCTTCCCATTGATTACCAATATAAGGAGCATTCTTCCCACTGATTACCAATGGAAGGAGCATTCTTCCCATTGATTACCAAAGGAAGGAGCATTCTTCCCATTGATTACCAATGGAAGGAACGTTCTTGCCACTGACCAACAATGTATCAATAAGGAGCGTTCATCCCATTGATTACCAATATAAGGAGCATTCTTCCCACTTATTACCAATATAAGGAGCATTCTTCCCCCTGACCGCAAGTGTGAGGAGCATTCCTCCCACTGACACCCCAATGTAAGGGGAATTCTTTCCACTGACCTTCAAAGAGCGTTTTTACAACTGACCATCAATGTTAAGAGCATTCTTCCCATTGATTACCAATGGAAGGAGCAATTGTCTCACTGACCACCAATGTAAGGGGCATTCTTCCCAATGACCTCCAAAGAGCATTCATACTACTGACCACCAATGTAAGGGGCATTCTTTCCAATGACCTCCAAAGAGCATTCATACTACTGACCACCAATGTAAGGGGCATTCTTCCCAATGACCTACAATGTAAGGAGCATATTTCCCAATGACCAGCAATGTAAGGAGCATTCTTCCCAATGACCAGCAATGTAAGGAGCATTCTTCCCAATGACCACCAATGTAAGGAGCATTCTTCCCAATGACCACCAATGTAAGGAGCATTCTTCCCAATGACCAGCAATGTAATGAGCATTCTTCCCATGGATTACCAATGGAAGGAGCATTCTTCCCATTGATTACCAATGGAAGGAGCATTCTTCCCATTGATTACCAATGGAAGGAACGTTCTTGCCACTGACCAACAATGTATAAATATGGACATCCCAAAGCAATGAAACAAGAAGAGGGCAATAGCCAACCAGCCACCAACTTCAAATTGATAAGAATCTCAGCAGCAGAAGAAGCTGACCAAAGGAAGCATTCTCAGGGGCATGAACATCCACGTTGTAAAACTTGGTAAAAGAATGAATCAAAGACTAAGTAGCAATTTTACAAAGTTGAGCTACCAAAGCCTGAAGATGTAATGGACCAGGAGGCACCAAAAATTCTAGCAGAATGGATGTTCACCAGAAAAAGTGAAACCTCACCCTTCAAGACATAATCTTAAGAAATACATTGTCAGATTGATCAAGAAAAGGTCCATTTTGAAGCTGTGACCCTTCCTTGGCCTTCAGGAAGCACAAAGAGGGAATCCAACTGACGACTGCAAGGTCTGGATACCATACTTCTGAGCAGTGAAAAGCCATACGTTGGATAGGTGCAGCGAGGTGTGGTGGCAGAAAGCAAACAGAGTCCCGAATTGTCAGATAACAATGTATTGCAGAACTTGAAACAAGCCCGGCAGGAAGGCTCACCCAACCGGGACACATACGACAGTTTAGAGTTTAGTCAGCAGTGTGTAGGCCCGAGTCGCTGACAGCATCTGTCAAGGAAAGCGAAGTGCAGCATGGCTGGTCAAACCCAAAGGAGAGCTTCTTGACAATTCAGACAAAGGCCTTGCTCTTTCCCTACTCCTTCGGAAACTCTCCTTACGCTAGTGCTGTCCCTGACAGACCAGTATCCTGTCACTGCACTAGTCAGTCACAAAATGCGTACCAAAACCCGAGAGCAGAGGCTTAAAAAGACTCTGCATGACCCAAGATGGCCACCAGAGTCACCTAAATCCAGTGCATCATTGCTCAAGGGGACTGGAGAAACCATAGAGAATCATAGTTCCTCCTGATATCCTCCTCCAGTTGCAATGCCACCATGGACAGGTTCCACTTACAGTGGAGACTATAGACTGCACCTGCTTACACGTAGGACATGGATCCGGATAACACCAATCACCTAGTCCCAGCTGTAACCATTGAGATGGTAGCAATTTTCATGCAGGGAGGTGCACAGGTGCACATGACTATCACCTAAGTCATTAGCAAAAAACTGGAGCCTGGTCTAATGTGGAGGTGTTAAATCCAGCAGGGAACTTCCTATCATTTTTTTTCTTGCCAGTGTCCAATTATCTGAAGTTGCCAGCATAACCCTATCATTATGAAAATGAAGATGGTCTTTGCTTTGGGATGCAGGGCCATGGATAAGGGGGTACCACCAACAGTGGTGTATTTAGGTTTCGTGCTGCCCTAGGCAATACAAAAATTGGCACCCCTCCCAACAGAGAAACCCTGACACCGACCAACAACACCCCAGCCCCACCCCCCCGAGTGAGCCTTCCACTACCACTGCCCCCCATACACTGGCAACCCCCCTCTCCCACCCCAGCAAGAGATAAGACACTCACCTTCACTGCTCCAAATATCCCCGGGAACAAGAATCAGGCTCTGCATACACCATCAAGCAGCCTGCAGCCTCTCTCAGATCCCACCTGGTCTCCATGCTGCATGTGTCCCTTCTTCCTTTCCTTCTTTCGAGGGACGGAGCTGCCCCCCTGGAAAATGCTGATGCTCCCCCTGAAAAAATGCCGCCCTAGGCAAATGCCTTGTTTGCCTTGTGGTAAATACACCCCTGACCACCAGTGCTCCTGTATGGGGCCCAGGCCAGCAGGGGGCCCAGGCAACTAGGTCAGATGTGGGCAGGGAGGGTGATGGGTGGGGGGGGGGCAATTACTGGAACCGATCCCCTGTATGGTTCTCTCTGCAGCAGCTAAAAGCTGACTTCTTCTGTCTCCCTCCCACTGGCTTTCAGCTGCTGTAGAAAGAACCGCTTCCAGTCATGCACCCATCACCCTCCCTGAGCACCAGGGTCAACTGACCATTGGAAACTCGGGCACTGCCCGAGGGCCCGGGGTCAGTCAGGGGGGCCCCATGAGATGCCCCAGGTACCTTTTTCATAGGCTTTTTTGAGTTTGGGCAAGGACACAGGGGCCCCATGATCCCCCTATTGCCCAGGGGCCCCATGAGTTGTCAGTCCGCCCCTGCTGAGCACCATACGTTTTCCTTTGCTGCCCAGGCCCCCCTGTGTGTGCCCCCCACCCCTGCAGTGCTGCAGTCTTCCCTCCAGGGGCGGACTGACCATTTGGAAACTCGGGCACTGCCCGAGGGCCCAGGGTCAGTAGGGGGCCCCATGAGATGCCCCTGGTACCTTTTTCACAGGCTTTTTTGAGTTTGGGCAAGTACACAGGGGCCCCATGATCCCCTATTGCCCGGGGGCCCCATGAGTTGTCAGTCCGCCCCTGCTTCCCTCCTTTTCTTCCCACCAGCAGCTGAAAGCACACAATAGGATACGTCAGGACGGAGAGTGGGGGAAGGGTCCGGTAAATATGTCACATTTACCAGTCCTTTTTTTCCAAAATGAACACAATGAGTGATTGGTACCGGTCACTCACTGTGCTCATTCATAACTAAAGCATAGTAAACTGTGGTTTTTTTTTTGGGGGGGGGGGGGCCCTGTCAGGTTGGCTGTATGGGGTCCCGTGGTTTCTAATAGCAGCCCTGTCAGGATGTATGAAAAAATAAATTTTAGGAACAAACAGAAATTTTCACATAACAGTATAACAGGGTAACTAAGATATACCTTATATTAGAAGAGTTATACGATTTTCCAATTCTCTATAATCCGCTACATCACTGGACGGAGATTGGCAAGAATAGGTGGAATTCGGTGAGGATTGTACATCATGCAGGGAGGCCGGGAGGACAAGTGACTCCCTTGATCTTAAGGCGAGTTATATGGCTGAAATAACAAGAATAAAGTGAAAAAAAAACACAAGGGGTTCAGTTATTCTGCCAAAAAAGAACAAAAAAACAAAACTTGTTTACAGCTTGTGCTACAATTGCATTGTTCTTGCACAATAGTCTCCATGTCTGCTACAATGACAGCTCATTTCCTATTTCCAAGACAGAGAAACCCCCATTAGACTTCCTGATGTAGGGCGGGTTACCACACTGCTGAGTGTCAATAACATGTGGGGAGGGGAATTAAATGTAAAAAAGTCAAACAACATACAATCCACATGGGATAAACCAGTTTTCCCTCCAGAGGATTTCCCCCCCCCCCCTTCCTAACCAGGACATTTTTTGTGTTATGGCGCTGTGTTACTTTGACAATTACGCAGTCATGCAACGCTGCACCCAAATGAAATTTACATCCTTTTTTTTCTCACCAATTGAGCTTTCTTTCAGTAGTATTTTATCGCTTGCGCTATAAAAGGAAGGTCCGACAATTTTGAGAAAAAAAAACAATATTTTTGACTTTTTGCTATTAAACATGTCCAATTTTTTATAGCATAGCAAAAAGTCGAAAATATTGTTTTTTTCTCAAAATTGTCAGACTTTTTTTAACCTCCCTAGCGGTATTCCCGAGTGTAGCTCGGGGTAAAATTTCAGTACCAAAAGCGGTAACCCCGAGCTACACTCGGGCTTACCATGCGGCGTTGCTCAGGGAGTCCCTGCAGCGCTTACCCTGTCCTTCGCTCCCGCGATGTGTCCCCTGCAGCATCCCCGTCCCTATGACGTTGGGACATACGGGCTCCAGAACCGGCTGCAAATTTGAAATTTTTAAAAAATGTCATTTTTTAAAAAATTATTATTATATAGTAAAACATTGCTGTTTCAACCCATTTCACATACATTTTGTCCTGAGTGCTCTGTCCTGTCCCTTGTCTGCATTTTTACTGTTCTTTCTGCCTGGAAACTGAGAAATGTCCACGGCGTCCAAAAAGCGTTCCTTTATGTCAAAAGCGGGTTTAGATCAGCTAGAGAACAGCGTTAGTAAATCAGAACCACTTGCAGAATTGAGTGATAATGATTCGTGGGGGAAATTCGTCATCAGACACTAAAAACGATTTTGCGACTTTGCTTAGCGATGTGCGAATTTGCCTCTGTATTTCAAATTTCAGTGTTTTTGGTTTGATTATATTATTGAATTAAATGTATTATTATTATATTATTATTTTTTATGATTATTAATTAAATTATAATTTATGATTTCGTGTTTCAAGTTTTACCATACCCGGGATGTTTACTAGACTCTTGTTCGGACAGATTTCAGTGAGTTTTTCCTAAAAATTACAGGCCTACAATAAAAAACTACATATTTCCATGCAAAAAAATGTACCGCTTTCAGCACCAAAAATCGGAAAGAATCATACCGCCAGGGAGGGTAAAATATCAAAATATCAAATGTCGTTATACATTTGGGCCAAGATGTATTCTGCTACAAAAATCCCAATACGTGTAAATTAATTGGTTTACGTGAAAGTTATAGCGTTTACAAATGGCAGTATACAGTATATAGTGGATTTTTTTTTTTTTTAGTAATGGAGGTGATCAGCGACTTATAGAGGGACAAAAAAACACTGACACTGTACTGACACTGGGCAGGAAGGGGTTAACATGTGGGGTGATCAAAGAGTTAACTGTGTGCTGTTTTACTATGGGGGCCGTGTGTGTGTGTTTTCACTGTAAGCACACTGCTTTGTATGGCTGTGCTGTGCAGAGCCATCCAAAGCAGTGTGCACGAGCTGACAGGGAGAACTGTTTTCTTTACAAGATCCTTGGCAATCACCGGCCGGGACCCGGTGATAGGATGCAGGTAGGACGTGTGCATGCCTTGTGCACCCCCTATCCGGAAATGCAAAATCACGAATATATACAGATTTTGCGCACCCGTGCCACCCTGTAGCAGTATATCTGCTATACGGCAGACGGAAAGCGGTTAATAAAGGAGAATGAGTGGGAATCAATTTTCAAACCGCATCTGACAGGTGTCGGGGAGGTGATATGTTGCCTTCTCTGCTCCTGTTTTAACCCTTGAAAGCTTACACCACTGTGCTGCAACCATGTGCATTGCAGGGCGCTCACGGCGTAACCCCATTCACTTGAATGGGTCA